TAAATAATAACGAAATAAAAATTATTGCTACGGACTACAGGCATGGGAATTTTAATTATTACAACAACACGCGAAATTATATATATTTTTTAATCATGAAGACCTATGACAAATTTTCTCTAAAGAAAAAAAATATTTTCAGTCCCCTGAGATATAAAAAAATTGCCCAGCCTTCTGAGAAAAATATTCCTTTGAGAAAATTCAGTTTTGGCGTTTGAGGATTTTTATATACACTCCCTTAAATGCGTACATAATGATCCGCTTCTGGTCGCCAATAAAGATTCTCTATGGTAGCCTGTAGAGTCCGCCTTGTATTCGTGAATAACTATAAGACCTACTTCTGGTTGCCAATGAGGAAATCCTACTGGTGGCCTATAAATACCGTCATCTTATACTCATTTCTATTCTATTCCCCTTCTGGCAATTTATACAGACCCTATCAGGTCACCTTTATGGTCGACAAAAAGACTCACTTTTGGTCGCCTAAAAATACACTCTTCAATTTAGTCCAAAAACTTTTATTAAACCCCATCAGAGACACCCATTTCGCGGTTTGCCCTATTCAAAGTAATAAAAATTAGTGTTTTTTCTTTCTTTCTTAAAAACTTTCAGTCATTATGTAGTTCCAGGCCTCGAAACTTCAAAAATGTTATTTTTTGTGATATTATTCAGATCCATGTCGGATCAAGGTCTCATACGCTTCCATTGTCCTCATTAGTTGTACCCAACATCGTTAAAAACCATCAGAGATATTTTTAAACTGTGGTGAGTTTGTATAAAAATTCACCACACCTGATTTCGGATTTCGTTCAAAATCATCAGAGACACTTGTTTTCAATGAATAATTAATCAAGTAAAAAGCCTCTATAAAAATTACTGGAATGGAAAATCGCTGTTTGTCTTCCAGACCCTATATGTTCCTAAAAATCCTAAAAATTTTTTGTGATATTATTCAGCTCCTTGTCGGATAAAGGTCGATTTCGTTAAAAATCATCAGAGACATTTATTTCCAATGAATACTTTATCAAGAAGAGTTATTTTGGCATATTCGAATGTTTTTGATCTGTGGTGAGTTTCTATAAATATTCACCATACCTCGCCTTTTGGTTAAAAAAGCTCGTTGTCATCCTCCATGTAATAACTTTCAGTTCCAGGCCTCGAAGCTTCTAAAATGTATTTTGTTGTGAAATGAATCAGATCCTTTGCGGATAAAAACCTCATTCTTTCCATAATCGTTTTTAGATGTATCCAATTTGCTTAAATAATATCAGAGACACTTATTTTAAATTTATAAATTTAAGCCTGACTATTTTGCAAAAACAAAATACAAAATTGTTCTTTGTTCCCTCTAAAGTAATTACCTAATGTGTCTTCAATTTTCAAACCACCTGAACTCATATTTCATTTCAGTAGTCTGTGGTGAATAATTCATATTTTACCACTTTTTCTTTAAAAAATCACGAAAAACTATATTTTTCAATGTGTCTATAATCAGAAATTACTAATATTGCATTTGTAAAAATTTTTTTTTTTTCACCACACATAATTAATATAAATGTCTGATATAAAAATTGTTGTATAATTTGTATGATAATTAATTAAATTCACCACACTTAACATTATTAATATTTTTCCAATGTTCCTCAAACGCCTACAAATACACATACAGCATCTGCTTACCTTTTGTCTTACTGGTAATGTCAAAAGGTAGCTTATTGTCATTACATTGTAATGCCAAAAATGGGCCAATAAGTTACAATAATTTTATATGTTTTACTATTGTTTTGTAACAATTACTAAAAAATTAGCTTAAATAAAAAATAATGCATTTTAGATGCTTCACAAATCCTGATACATTTTTATGGTTATTCTCACCTCTTATGGTCTCAATATTCCAGTACATGCCTATATATTGCTCCTTAGTATTTTTTTTTGTCCAAATTTCGAAAATTTTTGTCCTTCGATCAAATTTTTCTTTATCAAGAAATCAAAGCATATTTTAAGGGGGTTGGTTGCCGCATTCGAGTCACAGCCAGCACCACCACCCCTATGACAATGAGAAACCTTTAACGTCATCACAAAAACGAAAAAAATATCTATAATTTGCCTTTATTGTGTTACCCACTAGACAAGACACATTTTTGCATGTTATGTGTTAGTGGTTACTATCATAAATTCCACCTCTCCCTGCATACTGCAATCCCTTCGTCGTACAAATTCCCACTGCATTTCCTAGAGAAAATCAAATTAGAAACAAAATTCATGGGCGAACTTAAAGTGTATCTAAGAAATTCAAGTTCATGTACTATGCCAATATTGAATATTGCATGTCGTTTGTGGGTTAGACTAGGTTTATTGAAGACAAGGGAAGGGTTTAGAGGGGGTAAGGTGGTCGATTGCCTTATTATGTGGCCCCTCTGTATATTTATTTTTGTTGTTGTTCAGTCATAATGCAGATTTAATAATATTATGAATGCACAAAAATAGGCGGAACTATGAACAAAATAAAATGCCGGTATACACAGACGGCTCATTTACTGTCATATATTCAGGGCCGGATGATTTTTTTGTTATTGCTATTGTTGTGGTTGTTGCTGTTGTCTTGTTTATTGGCATTATTATGACATTTTGACGATTTTCCAACGGAGGTTTGTTTTTTATTTTATTTGTAATGATTTTAGCAAATATTTTGATTCATGTGTTTAACTTTTTTTATCGTTGTTGTTTTTTTTTCTTTCAGGAAATAACGAATAAACGTAGCTGCAAAAGGGTAAGCTTTACACACAATCATATAATTGAGTTATTTTTAAATATATCCCCTAAAACTATGCACCACAATTAATATGAATAAAACAATGTCGTCAAAAATCACGAAAAATTACAATAAATAAGTTTTTGTAGCCCAAAAGTATTAATTTTGAGTTTTCATAAAATTTCACCATGTGGTGAGTTTCTATAAAAATTAACCACACTTAGTTTTTTCATGAAAATTATTATTTTAATAATTTCCTAGTTAAATGCTATACAAATAAGTGGCCTAGCCACATCGTAAGGTTAGTTTCAGCCGTGGTGAATTTTTATTTTACAGTTTTTTTTTGCTCTCCAATTATGATAAAATAAACAAATTTTAGTTTTTAAATTTTCTGTTTGTTATCCAGTTAATTTTTAACAACATTTTATGTTAATAATATTCAAAATTGGAATAACTTACTATTTTTCGTGTAATACTTGACTGTGGTGAATAAGGGTTGCGTTTTAACACTGTCAAATTTAATTGGGAATCGCAAAAAATTAAAACAATGATGTTTTTAGTGCTCCAGTAGCATTTTTTTGCATTTCCATAAAATTTCACCCCGTGGTGAGTTTCTATAAAAATTCACCACACTTTGTTTTTCGATGAATATTTTTATTTTAATCGTTTCCTAGTTAAATGTGGTAAAAATAAGTCGTCAAGCTATATCTAAATGCCTGTTTCTGCCATGGTGAATTTTTATCTTAAAGTTTTTATGCCCTCCAATTATGATAAAATAAAAAATATTTAGGGGAGAGGGGGGCACCTTTGAACACTTTTTGCTTTCAAGCCTTATAATTTTTTTTATTTTATAATTTTTTGTTTCTTATAAATTTTAACTAATAGGTACATATGTAACCTTTAAAATCAATATACATATGACATACTATAAGCTTGATAAATATATTTTATTACTGTTTTAATGAAAATTAAAGTGTTTAATAGCCCCCCCAGGGTTAAAGCTTTGAACAGGGGTTGACATTTTTGAACGACATGGTTATTTACAGTGTTTATGTTCAAATATATATATGTATTGTATTCATATATATCAGAAATGCATTAATTCATTAAAATATATATAAAAATGTTAAAAAATTAAAAAATTTAGATCAAAAGTTATTAAAACATAAAATGACTTAAAAACAAAAATTAACATGGTGAAAAATACAGTTAATTTCGTAATCTTATTAGCCCATTTGAAATTTTGAGAAATCGAAGCCAAAAGTTAAAAACTCCTTTTTTACTCGAGTTTAATGTGAATGTTCAAAGGTGCCCCACCCATGGAATTTTACGGAAATTCAAAATAACTTTTTTTGTAATAAATATATATGAAAGAAATTACATTAGTTATGTTTGAAATGATTGTTGGAATGCAAAAAGTTTGTTTGACGAAAGAAAACTATCACAGAATTCTTCCTGCGCCCTTACAAAAAAATGAATAAAAGTTTACAATGACACTGAGAAAACATGGTCACCCATGCACAATTTTTCGATAACTGAAAAAGCAAGCCAAAGTGGTTTACGTATATAGAGAACAAGATTGCCATATACAAAAATGTGGTTGTGGGTCGGAAAAATATTAAACCAAGATTTTATGAGCGCTGTTCAAAGGTGCCTCACGTTCAAAGGTGCCCCCCTCTCCCCTATTTAATATTTTCATTTTGTTATCCAAGTTAATTTTCAACAAAATGTTAACTTAATAATATTCAAAATTACAATAACATGAGATTTTCATGTAATAACTGACCGTGGTGAGTAAGGTTTGCATTTCGACACTGCCAAATCTCGTAAGGAATCGCAAAATATTGAAATAATGACGTTATTAGTGCTCCAGAAGTATTTATTTTGCATTTCCATAAAACATTATCTGAAATAAATTTCCTTCAATCAAATATCACAATTATTAAAATACGACATTTGTTCCACCTCATATGTATTAATTTCACAGCGTGGTGAGTTGCTCTAAAAATTCATCACATTCCGTTTTTTCTTGAAAATCGTTCTTTATGAAGTTTCTAAGTGACATGTGACAAAATTATGGGACCTAGTCATATAACAAGATCAGTTATCGAAGTAGTGAATATAAAATTCAATGTTTAAAACCCTAAACCCAATAACATTTCAAAATTAAAAATTTTAAAATTAAAAATTTAACCCTTAATTTGCTTGATATTTGAACCCTTTGAAAAAAGAAAAATTTCCAACTCACCTCATTAATTCAAAAGTGATACACAAATGTTTCCTAAAATACATATAATCCAACATGTGTATAACATTATGAGATCCATCGGCATCCTTTTCACGCAACTCATCCAATATATTCAATTCAACCACAGCCTGATTGAGAAAACGTTTCTTATTGCGTATGATTTTTATGGCCACATGGGTATTGGTTTTGTGATCCAAGGCGCGTATGACCTGGCCAAAGCTACCCTTACCAATTATTTCGAGTATTTCATAACGAAAGGCGATGTGATCATGTTCAATCTGAAAACAAAGAAATTTTATTTTTTATTTGTATTTTATGGAGTGTTTTTTGTTTTCAACTCACAATTTTATAATTTCCCAATTCATCATCATAACCCGAATTGGTAGTGGAAGCGGCTGGCTTATTGGAGTAATTCTTATTGGCATTTTGACCAAAATACCAAATTTCCTTGTAGACTTTGAGCTCTTCGAATTCCATGTCAGTTAAATAGTTACTGTATTTTTTAACAAGTTCTGGAAAAACGAAAATAAAAAATAATTTAATAATTAAGCCTAAAAGCATGCTTTATTTTTTTCGTTAGCATAGTTGTGTTTTCTGCCACTCTTTGTATTTGTTTTTTATTTTTTTTTTCACATTTATTTTGCCCCCTAATTAATACTTGACATTTCTCGTTGCCCAGATTGCCTTTTGGCATGAATACATTGAGATTTTTTTTATTCGTTCGTTTTGTTTGTTTTAATAAAACTTTGTGAAGTGACATTTTCTAAATGGAGCTGCTCTACATAGGAAAAAAATAAAACCCCTGCCACATACGCATTATGGCCTTGGCCTTATTGACATAGTCATAGTGATGTGAACAAATACAAGAGCTTTGGCAAACTAAAAAACAACGTCAGTATTATTATGCATGAAATGTGAAAATTCAACATGGGGAATATCATTAACATTAAAAAATAGAAAACTAAAACTAAAGCATGCTTTTAAACCCTCAAGCCTAAAAGCATACTTTAGTTTTTTTTTGTTTGTTTTTCTGTTTTTTCTTTTTCAAAATGTTATTTATAAAGTCGTGTCCCATTTTAATTTTCCCGCTTACCTGATGGTGTCATCGGTGTTATACATTTCATTTCATCTCTGCCTGAATTGGCACTACCCGTACTGCTGTTCGACTTTGTTGACGAACCCCGTTCACCGCTTGATGAATTGCCATGTGACGACACGGTATTTGAAGAGACGGGTGAACCTAGATTATTGTTGTTGTTATTATTATTGTTGCTATTGCTGTTGTTATTATTGTTATTTAGATTGCCATTCGATGGACTGCGATGTGAACTTTGCTGTTGTTGCATTTGTGATGTATGATGATGGCCATTCGAGTGATGATGATTGTTGCGGGATGAGCCACGTGTTGTGCCATTACTGCAGAGATTTGGTAAATCGATACGTGAATTGGAGAGACGTGCATCACGATCACGACGACATTTGTCGTTGTCGATCTGAACCTGGAAGTAATTGAGGGGAGGATAGATTAATATTTGTATATATTTTAACAAATAAAAAAATAGCCTTCAAGGCATACTATTAGGCCTGGATTATTTAAAAATATGTTTCAAGGTATACTGTTAGGTGTGGATTATTTAAAAACAATTTTAGGGCATACTATTAGGCGTGGATTATTTAAATATATTTTTCAAGGCATACTATTAGGCGTGAAATTAAAAAATGTCAAGACATACTATTAGGCGTGGAATTAAAAAATGTCAAGGCATACTATTAGGCGTGGAATTAAAAATGTCAAGGCATACTATTAGGCGTGGAATTAAAAAAATGTCAAGGCATACTATTAGGCTTGGAATAAAAAAATGTCAAGGCATACAATTAGGCGTGGATTATTTAAAAATGTTTTCAGAGCATACAGTTAGGGATGGATTGTTTAAAAATGTTTTTCAATATTTTTCAAGGCATACAATTAGGCGTGGATTATTTAAAAATGTTTTCAGAGCATACAGTTAGGGATGGATTGTTTAAAAATGTTTTTCAATATTTTTCAAGGCATACTATTAGGCGTGGATTATTTTAAGATATTTTTCAAGGCATACTATTAGGCGTGGATTATTTTAAGATATTTTTCAAGGCATACTATTAGGCGTGGATTATTTTAAGATATTTTTCAAGGCATACTATTAGGCGTGGATTATTTTAAGATATTTTTCAAGGCATACTATTAGGCGTGGATTATTTTAAGATATTTTTCAAGGCATACTATTAGGCGTGGATTATTTTAAGATATTTTTCAAGGCATACAATTAGGCGTGGATTATTTTCAAGGCATACAATTAGGCGTGGATTAGTTTAAGATATTTTTCAAGGCATACTATTAGGCGTGGATTATTTAAAAATAATTAGACCTGGATTATATGAAAAATATTTTTCAAGGCATACAATTAGGCATGGATTTTAACAAAATATTTCTCAAGGCATACAATTAGTTTTGAATATTATATTATATTTATATTTTTGAAGCACTAAAATTTGGCCTAAAAATATTCGTGGATTCCAAAAATTTTTAAAGCCTAAAAATATTATTCTAGGAGAAAAAGAGGCGATTACATGGCCCCTTAATTATATTTTTTTTTATCCAAAAGTAATACCTACTTTTAGGCTGTACTTTATTAAACACGTTTCCACAACTTTTTCTCAATTAACATTTTGTCACACATAATCTTCCAGCTCATTAAAGTTTTAACAATGCCATTAAATAATATAATAATGTCAGGCATAACATTGACATTCAAATTAGTTTCACTAATCTTCAGACCACAAAGTAATGATTTAATACTTAGATGATAATTTATTAAGTTTATTGAGTTATTTGGCTTATTTTTTCCTAATTTGTAATATAATATATTTGCACGAGTTATAAAAAGTTTTGATAAAGTCTCTTTGGTAATTAGTACCACAACTTTTTTTCATTGTGCAAAAAAGTTATGCCGACTATTGGGCTAATTTGACCTTGTTGACAAAATTAAAGAAAAAAATATAATCTACTTTTAGGATGAAACGTGTAGAACATATGTGAACCTATTTTTTTGTAAAAGTTTTAATTATTTTGACATTGACATTCGAAAAGAAGTAGCCTCACCTACATTTATTGCCATTTTTCCACGTGTGCCTTTACAGATTAATTTAATTTATTTACTTCCTTAATAAAAGTATATTTCTAGGAGCACGAGGAAATTTATAGACATAGGAATTTGTGTGTAAATATTTTTATTTGCAAACATTTGCTTTGGTTCTCACGTTAATGCAGCAACAAATAACTGCTACAAAAAATATTTATAGTTCTTGAAAATATTTTTTTAAAAATCTACGCCAAGTAGCAAACCTTGAAGGCTTTGAAGGCCACGCCTTTTGAAAAAATTATTTTAAAAATCCACCCCTATTAGTAAGCCTTGAAGGCCCTGAAAAAAATTATTTAAAAAATCCACGCCTATTAGTAGGCCTTGAAAAAAAGTATTTAAAAAATCCACGCCTATTAGTAGGCCTTGAAAAAAGTATTTAAAAATCCACGCCTATTAGTAAGCCTTGAAGGCCCTGAAAAAAATTATTTAAAAAATCCACGCCCATTAGTAGGCTTTGAAAAAAAAAGTATTTTAAAAATCCACGCCTGTTATTATCCACGCCTTTTGGTGATCCTTGTAAAAATTATTTTAAAAATCCACGCCTATTAGTAGGCCACGCCTTTTTATGGTCCTTGTAAAAATTATTTAAAAAATCCACGCCTATTAGTAGACCTTTTGGTGATCCTTGAAAAAATTATTTAAAAAATCCACGCCTATTAGTAGACCTTTTGGTGATCCTTGAAAAAATTATTTAAAAAATCCACGCCTATTAGTAGACCTTTTGGTGATCCTTGAAAAAATTATTTAAAAAATCCACGCCTATTAGTAGACCTTTTGGTGATCCTTGAAAAAATTATTTAAAAAATCCACGCCTATTAGTAGGCCACGCCTTTTGGTGATCCTTGAAAAAATTATTTCAAAAATCCACGCCTATTAGTAGGCCACACCTTTTTGTGGTCCTTGAAAAAATTATTTAAAAAATCCACGCCTATTAGTAGGTCACGTCTTTTGGTGGTTCTTGAAAAAATTATTTAAAAAATCCACGCCTATTAGTAGGTCACGTCTTTTGGTGGTTCTTGAAAAAATTATTTAAAAAATCCACGCCTATTAGTAGGCCACGTCTTTTGGTGGTCCTTGAAAAAATTATTTAAAAAATCCACGCCTATTAGTAGGTCACGTCTTTTGGTGGTCCTTGGAAAAATTATTTTAAAAATCCACGCCTATTAGTAGGCCGCCTTTTGGTGATCCTTGAAAAAAATGATTTAAAAAATCCACGCCTATTAGTAGGCCACGACTTTTGGTGATCCTTGAAAAAATTATTTAAAAAATCCACGCCTATTAGTAGGCCACGCCTTTTGGTGATCCTTAAAAAAAAAATTTTAAAAAAATTATTAGGCCACGCCTTTTAGGTTATTAAAAGGGCTTGACAAAATTATTATCATTATTAAATATTTTTTTACTTACCGGCATTTCACATCGATCCAACATTTTGCTTTGTGTGCTTAATATTCCAGTTTTATTAAAATGATTAGTATTGGTATTAAAACCAATTTTTTTTATTTAATATTCTTGATATATTTTTTAAAGATTTCTATAAACTTTTTGTAAAGTTACCGGAGACGCGATCATTGGTGTTGTTGTTAGTGCGGTTAGCTGCAAAGAAAAGAGAGGAAAACTCATTTATCAATATTTTGGGGAAATTATGTTTTTTTAAATTTTTAATATTTAATAAAAAATTATAAAAATTTTATATTTATTAAAAAAAAAAATTCTAAAAACAATTTTTTTCTAAATTTTTTTTTAAAAAAAATATTTTTTTTTAAAAAAAAATTTTAGAAAAAAAACATTTTTTTTAAAATCAACAAAAAAAATATTTTTTTAAAAAAATAAGTAAAATATTTGATTTAAGAAATTTAAATTTTATATGGATTTATTTTATTTCCTTAACACTTTCTCATATATTTTTAGCCTTCTTCAACGTCTGCCGCACACCGTTAAATAATCGCTTCAAAAATATTGTTTATTTGTGGACATTTATCATAACATTTTATTTACATTCAACAAATCGTTGAACCTTGTAGTTTTGTTATATGATTAGTTACCAATTCGTAATAGCTAAGACACCGAGGCAGACATTTGGTCTAGCCATTGGGGAGAAGCAAGGCACTACACCTTATTTTTATGGCAGCCAACAAACAAGTGGTTTGTCTGTCCACAGAAGAAGTAGAAGGAAAAATGGAATAAGAAGTCAATACACCAAACCAAGTAAATATCATAAAAAATAAATTTTGTTTGTATTTCATCAAAAAAATTGTAAGTAAAGCTCGTTCCCTTCCCTAAAGGCAGGAGTTCGATTTTTTCTTCTTACCCTTCCCTTCTGGCTTTGTGGCATAAAGTTATTATGTATTTTTTCCTCAAATCGGTAAATGTCTTTTGGAAACTTTTGACATTTGACGTTAAACGATTATCCATTATTATTATTCATGCAAAGCCAGCAAAAAACATCGTTTGTTTAGACCAACAAGCAACCATCCAACCACCAGGCAACATAACAACATCATCATCATGATCGAACATCAACATGCTCTGTCGTACTATTTTTGGTCGTTGACAATATTTAGCACTTTGCCATGGATGGATTTTTTTGTTGCTGGCTTTGTAACATTGAATAAGCGAAAGTTCCATCCAAGCCAATAGTATTGCTGACTTGTTTTTCTGGCCATCCTCTCCCCTTTCTTATCCGTATTCTCCTTTTGTTCCCTGTCTCCGCAAAAAAAGGATGACCTTTTTTTCGATGGTAACAGAGTTTTTCGTTTGGGAATTATGAAATTTACTTTACAAATTATATAAGACAATGTCTTCCAATAACTGTTCACCATTTTTTGCAAACTTTTAGTTGTTGTTTTTTTCTATTTAAATTTTTATTTCATTTTCCCACTGGCTGGTTGGTTAGAGGATACAAGTTTTTCTGGTACCATTTGTGTTTTTTATTTTGTTTATTGGCAAAATAAAGAAAGTCTGAAACCCACAGCAGTCTACATTTGGTTATTGCCCTCTATCTGTATAGAAGTGTGAATTTATTATTGCAAATAATGTCTGCCACATTATTGATTTATTATTACAAACAAGTTTCACTTTTTATTTGAATTTGCATTTTATTTTCGTAAGTTTTTCTCACAGAATGTCATGAAAAGAAAAGATATATTGGGAAAGGAAATACATTATTTTATTATTAAACTTGCATACACCCGCTACTTCGTTAACGAAGGTAGGATATTTAAAATTTTAGAACCATGTAGTACATATGTTCGCCTATAGTACGTTTTTCAAATCTACCTCTATATCTCAACTCTACACACCCATTCCGACCGCAACCGAAATCTACCTGTATACTAAATTTGGTGTCATTTTTACCCTTTGTACTCTTGCAATACTTATTTTGAAAACAATCAAATATACTTGCTTAGCTGGCTTGTGGCAGAACTTTCGTTCCATAAGCCGAGCTTAAAAAATATTTCCTGGCGCGTCGGTGTTTTGCGCACTTTTTCCAATTTGAAAGACCATATTCGACCACTTGATCTTTCCATCTTATTCGTGGCCTTCTCCTTCTGCGTGAACCATCAGCTGGTTTGCTGGTTCGCGATATTCACCGTCAACGCAGATCGGCCCATAGATCTTTCGGAGAATTTTTCTCTCAAACACTCCAAGAGCTGCCTCATCTGCTTGCGTAAATACCAATGCTTCAGATCATATAACAGCATGGGTAGTATCAGCGTCTTGTAGAGTGTGAGTTTGGTCTGGCGGGAGGTGGCCTTGCTTTTAAGTTGTTTGCTCAGACCATAGTAGCATCGGTTGGCCATCAAAATCTTTCTCCGAATATCAAAACTGATGTCATTCGTTTTGTTTATGGCGTTACTAAGGTGTATAAAATCGTTAACTACCTCGAAGCTGTAGTTCTCAAGTTCCTCAGATGGTCCCAGTCTATGGACGTCTTGCGCGTTGATACCATCAGCTTGGTCTTCTCGACGTTTCTGCCAGACCCACATTGGCAGACTCGTTCTCAATTTGTTCAAAGGTGGCTGTTACCGCTCTCAGTGTTCGACCCATTATGTCGATGACATCGACGTAGGCGAGTAACATGTGTTGTTTGGTGTACAGAGTGCCTCTCGTATGACATTTTCCAGCAGGATGTTAAAAAGGTCACACGACAAACTGTCGCCTTGTCTGAATCCTCTTTCGGTATTTAAGGGCTCCGAGAGGTCCTTTCCGACTTTAACTGCTGATCTTGTGCCAGTTAAAGTTATACTGCATAACCGTATTAATTTTGCAGTAATGCCAAAAACAGACATCAAATATAACTTCACCCAAATCCAAATTGAGTATCAGTATCCCGAATACCGACCCTACACCCCCACAATGATTCCAAATTCAAATATCAGGATTTCAACTCTATTAGTTCACCAACAATTCAACTTGTACTAAATATAGTACACAGTAGTATGAATTTCTAAAACCACCTTCTTACCACAAACCTACACCCCCATAGTGATCCTAAATCCAAGTTTCAGGATTCCAACTCTATCGCTTCACCCACAAGTTAAATTGTACCAAATTTAGTACACAGTAGTACCAATTTCCAAACCTCCCTACATACCCCCATCCAACACCTCCACAGTGATACTAAAACAAAATTTCAGGATTCCAAATCGATCGTTTCACCCACAGTTTAAATTGTACCAAATTTAGTGCACTTAGTAAAAATTTCTAAAACTTCTTACATAACCCAACCCTACACCCCATAGTGATCCCAAATCCAAGTTTCAGGAGTCCAACTCCATCGGCTCAATCGCAATTCAAATTGCACCAAATTTAGTACACATTAGTACAATTTTCTAAAACTTTTACATATCTCAATCTTACACCTCAAGAGTGATCCTGACTCCAAAATTTTGTGATTCTAGCTCTAATGGTTCACCTAAAATTAAAATTGTACCAAATTTAGTACCATTTAGTACTCATAAGTATTAATTTCGTAAACTGAATCCTGACCACTATCCCACACCCCTACAGTGATCCTGACTCCAAATTTTATTGTTTCCGCTCTATTGGTTCATCTAAAATTCAAACTGTACCAATTACAGTACGATTTAGTACTTTTCGTACACATAAGTAAAAAATTTCCAAAAACTGCGTACATATCCCAATCCTGCACTCCGACGGTAATGTTAATTTCAAAATTTCAGGTTTCCAGCTCGATTTGTATCTCCAAAATAAATTTGTACCAAATTTTGTACCATAAAGTACTTTTCGTACACATGAGTGCACACTTTCAAAACCATCTCCTTAAATTTACCCCACATCTCATCCCTAATTCGCATTCCAAATTTCAAACTTTTAGCTCTATCCATAACTTAACTCGACAAACAATTTCATTGTTCCCGCTCTATCGGTTCACCCAAATCCAAACTGTACCGATTATAGTACGATTTAGTACTTTTCATACACATAAGTAACAAATTTCCAAAACTACGTGCATATCCTAATCCTACACACCGATGGTAATGTTTATTGCAAATTTCAGGATTCCAGCTCGATTTGTATCTCCAAATTAAATTTGTACTAAATACAGTACCATATAGCACATTTCGTACACATGAGTATACGCTTTCAAAACCATTTCCTTAAATAGACCCTACATCTCAACTCGTATTCGCATTCCAAATTTCAAGCTTTTAGATCTATCCATTCACATGCTACGAAAGTGTACTATATTTAGTACATTTTAGTACTTTTCACTATATCTTTTAGTACCTTTGCTATATCTTTTCTACACTCCATCAGTGACCCTCATTTAAAATTTAAGAGTTCTAGCTCTACCGGTTCGCCAAATACAACTGGTATCACAGTTAGTACTTTTCGTACCGTTCTAGTACGAATTTCCTAAAACCTAGCCTTATCTGACACCTTTGGACCAAGAGTGACCCTCATCCAAAATTTCAAGATTCTAGCTTCAGCCGTTTCGTCTGGACGTTGATGAATCGTTAAATCAACAATCCACGACTATATAAAGTCCCCGGAAAAATATTTTATAAAAAACCACTCCTATTTAAGGCCCCAAAAAATATGTTTGATAATCTTAGATAAACTATCTGACCATTATCTAATTTCATTTATCAAATTTTAATTTTTTATTCAATTTCTAGTTCCTCTTTCAAATTTGTGTTATCATTAATTACAAATCAATCATAACCGCTTTTCCTGCCACTCAACATCATCATACATGTATGACATGTGATGAACTATGTATAGCTGACGTTTTTGTTTTTTTTGTTTCGGAACCAGTTATGCATCAGATAAAATTAATTTGTATTGTTGCTTTTTGTTGTTATTCTAACAACAACAACAATTTCTGATATACTACAATGTTAATAACTTCCGTTTTGGTTTTTTGTGTTTTGGGTACAACGACACTTGGCAACATCATCGTCACCATCAACAACAATTTGTTGTTGTTGTTTTGTGACAGCAACATCATAGC